GAGGTTGGTGCAGGCTCTTTTTTATCCATTTTGTATGGTTTTCTTGTTTTTTTTTTTTTTGCATTTTTTGGTTGTTTTGCTACACACCTAGCTTCTCTCCTGCTGTAAAAACTTGTTCAGATAGAGTTTGACACCCAGGGCCGAGCACACTTTCTGGAATGTGTCATCGGAAGGCAAGCCAGTGATCTTTGTGAAAGGCCCACGGCATGCCGAGGTAACGATGCTTCCACAATTCGACTCCGTGACAGAGGGCCCCTCTCATTGGCATGATGCAGATCTTTACCACTTCCTTGTAATTACGCTTGCATATCGTCACAGTGTTGCCATCCAGTGCAGCCAAGGCTCATTTGGTGTGGAAGACGATCGCGAAAAGGTGGCAGAGGTTCTGCGCCAGGCTATTCGGAAGAGTCTGTTTTCGTGGTTGCGCCGCGGAAAGTTGGCTCAGTATCGACTTCTCCTGAACCTGCAGAGTGTCTACCTTCGGAGCTGGGAACCTGACTTGCAGGATGTGGTCCCCGGCTTTCAGGCTTCCGGTGTAGACCCGAAATTGATCGACTTGGAGCGGTTCCTTTTTCAGAACGGCTTCAGGCATGCCTTGGAGCGTGATGCTGTGGGCTGGTCCCCTTTGTGTTATGCTGTACTCCAGGGAAACGCGTCCTTGGTGGCAGCCTTGCTTGAGCAGCAAGCAAACCCAAATGACCAGACCCGCCGCAGCAACCCAGATGTCTATGTGGCTGGGCATACTCCGGTGTTGGTGATTGGTGCCAGATTTCAGAATCACAAAGCCATGAAGGTGCTCATAACAGCCCAGGCCGACATTGAGGGTCGTGACTCTTTCGGCAGCACACCGTTGGTGGCTTCGGCTGTTTCAAGCGACGCAGTAGGTGCCCAGCTGCTATGTGAGGCAGGCGCGAATACTGACGTGAAGAATATGTTCGGAGTCAGTGTTTGTCAGATTGCCTGCGAAGCCAATGCCTTGGGTGTAATGCGCGAGCTGCGCAGCAGGTCACCGAACTTGAGCCTTGCAGGCTGCGTGCAGTCCGCTTGCGCGGTACATGGTTCCACAGCCCTGTTAAAGTGGTTGGTCAATCAGCGAGCTGACATCAACGAGCAGTACAAACCCCCGGCCTTCAGTCTTTTGGGCTTCTTAATGAGGGTGAAAGGTGCCCAGTACAGGTTCGGCTTCTCAAGAACCATGCTGAGTTTCTTCGCTTATCACCACTACGGTGCTTCAGCCTTGATGAGTGCCATCTTGACAGGGAATTTCGAAGCAGCGGCTGCCCTGGTGGCAATGAAGGCCCGCTTGGACTTGCGAAATTCCCGTGGCAAGACTGCCAAGGACTTGGCCAATGACATGGCTGTCCCGCCCTATCTCGTGGAGCTTCTTGATCAGCCGACAGGCGCCTTGGGTCTGACGTCAATGGAGCCATTGCGCTCTTTTGGGCTGGCAGAATTTGAGCGCGAGGAGAGCGACTGTTTCGAGATTTGATGGTACCTTCGCTGGACCTCTGGGGGAGCATGCAGGGTCTGCTGGGTAATGCTGTTTGAGTGAGGCCGAAACGCAGAATTCAGCGAATGCTGTGTGTGTACTTGTTTTTGGATTTCACTGCCGTGTGCTCGTGTGGGAAGTCCAAGTCCAAGGAGCAAGCAATTAACATCCGTTTCATGAAATGTCGTCACTTAGAAGGACAAACCACCCTGAGCAATTCATGGTTTAGATTGCGAAGCTTGCACGATGCTGGCAACCGCTGAACACTGCAAAGCAGGAAGTGATGTCAGTGTCATGTGGTTCAGATCCCGGATGATCCTAGGCCCTTGCTCACTTTTCTCTGCAGTCCAACGACTTGCGAGTTCTCTGAATGTGCAGCAAAGCCAGGGGAATCATCTAAATGATAAGTCATATCGACTTGCCAAGCCTCCAGCCAGTTTTCCACGCAGTCTCTATGTAGGTAGAGACTGTGGCTGCCGGACGTCTTGGCAAGGCAATGTCTTTTTGCTTTGAGTCCAGTTCGCAATTGAAAATGATCGCGGGCCAGAGTCACGGTGCAGAAGGTTTCTTTTTTTGTTGCCTTTCCCAACTTGTTTAGGCTAGCGTGGCAATGCTGAAGCCGGAAGCATGGCAGTGCGAGAAGTGGGTTAGAGAAGGGGCATCGTTGCCACAATTAAATATACTATAGTAGTTTCCATTTTATTTTCCATTTCTCCTATATAACCCCAATATACTGTAGTAGTTTCCATTTTATTTTCCTTTTCCCCTATACAACCCCAATATAATATAGTAGTTTCCATTTTATGTTCCATTATCCCACCCTCAGACAACTCATCAATCCTAAGTCCTAGGCCCGATGTGGCTTGGTATCTGGCTAGGTGGATAAACTGCTAAACACGACGGTGATATCAATAGCAAGGGAATTTCCCAGCTAGATTTTAGGTGCTGCCATCACTTTGTAACAGTTGGATAATATCATATATCATATATTTAAAGCCCTCGAAATGATCCCGTTACAGGGTGGGGCCAGTACCCAAGCTGGATGCTTTGAGAGAGCTTCTTGATGCTGAACCTGGCCTGGAACTTCAGAGTCAGAGGCTCTAGATCCAAAATTCTCCAAAGAGCCCTAAACCCTAACCCTAAGCGTCCCCAGAAATCATGCCAAGGGGCGGCGGGCTATGTAGGGTTTAGGGCTATTCGAGCCCGTACCATAGAAAAGGAAAAGCGCAGGCTGCGTAACTGAAATAATGAACGGCCAGGAAGGTGGGAGCAGATTGAGCGACAGTTTTTTGAAGAGTTGTTATCAAAGACCCAATCCCCCCCACGTCTGAACCCTAAAGCCAAACCCTAACTCCTATCTAACTCCTATATTACACTAGTTTCCATTTTTTCCATTAGCCTTAATACCACCCAAAACCTTGACTGCAGGCCTAACCATGAACCCAAAACTCCTGAAAGCCGATATGAACCCCGAAAAGGTCCCCCTAATTTTTTTGAAGCCCTAAAACCCTAAACCCTGAAAGCCATGGGCTGCTTTAGCTGTTGGGAGGGGCTGTGGAGCCTGCAGGCTGGCCCAGAGCTTCAAATCTTCGATGCCGTTTGGTCCTGTTTGCTGATGTGAGTACTGCTGCAACATGTTGTCCGTGCGCCTAACGTGCAACTTGCAACATTCTGAGAGGTGAAGGCGCTCTTGCCATCAGGAATATCATCCAAAGCGCAAAACGGGTGGGTCCCCAAAGCAGTTGCAGTATCTTAGTCTAAGGAAAACCAAGTCCAATTTTGATGTGGTTAGCAACAGTAGTAGCTTAGGGAGAACATCATAGTAGCGAGCCTGGAAGGTCCGCCGCCGGAAAGAGACATCAGACATCCCCTCTGCCCTAGCCCCAGAGGGATGTTGCTCCGGACAACAGCTGGGACGCATCGCTTCTTGTGTGTGCTGAATTCAGTAGTTGGCAAGAGATGGAGGAATGGATCCTTAGAGCAGTTTCCATTGTCTTTTCCTTTCCTTTGTTTTAAGTCGTCCGCGAGTACAATCTTCCGCAAGTAAAAGAGGTGTTTGAATGTTGGAAGACCATGCTGAGATGCATCGTTGGACTCTTCAGGTGACCTTGGCTTTAGCCGGATTGGTCGTGCACAAGTTGTTCAACAAGTTTCCGTCAATGAAGCAGTCAAATGTCTGTTTGCTGTCGGTTGCTTTGAAGCAACAAACATTGAGATACACTCGTTCTTAACAGGGCTAGTTTTTTGAGGCGAGCTACCTTGTGACAAGCAGGCACACGAAGATGGCTTGTCATTGATGCCATGATTGTCAGTATAACAATCAGCATTCGCCGCATCAGCAGCAGCAGCGGCAGCGGCAGCGGCAGCGGCAGCGGCAGCGGCAGCGGCAGCGGCAGCAGCAGCAGCAGCAGCAGCAGCAGCAGCAGCAGCAGCAGCAGCAGCGGTCACAGCAGCGGTCACAGCAGCGGTTGCAGTGGCAGCAGCTTGTGTAGACGAGGAGTGAGGTTCGCCTAAATTAAGAAACATCTCGTACATGGTTTTTTGAATTTGCAGGGGCCCTCGGTTTAGCGTTTTTGTTGAGGTTCGCTTAGATCTGAAGCTGGAAGGGAGGGGGTGGTGCAAGGTTTCATTGTAGCCTCATGGTGAATCTTGAGTCTTAGCCTGCGCTACAACCTTTAGGTGCCATCGCAAGAAAGCTTCAAGATCTCCAGGCCTGAAGCCACATTACGCTCGAAATGCATTATCAAAGTGTATATTGAGGTTGTAGTAGGGAATAAGGGGATATATTGGGACACTGTTGGGATTATATAGGGATAATGGAAAAGAAAATGGAAACTACTATAGTATATTAGGACTCCGACTGAGACATTTGGGTTGGCAAGTAGTCCGAGATCTTCATTTAAAATATAGTAGTTTCCATTTGCTTTTCCATTATCCCTATATAAATCCAATATATCCCCTTATTCCCTACTACAACCTTAATATACCCTCTTACAAAGCATTTTGAACCTCATTTCAGACTCTGTGCGCTACAGCCTTGGTCATCAGCTCTGAGCCCTGAACACCTTCTGCGGTAGCATGGGGAGTGTATGGCAATTATGATAGTAGTTTCCATTTTCTTTTCCATTCTCCCTATATAACCCGAATATACCAAAATACCCCTGATATATTATAATATATCCCCTAATATACTATAATATAACCCTTAACATACTATAATATAACCCCTAATATACTGTAATATAACCCCTAATGTACTATAATATGTTATAATCGATCCTAAGCTCCAAGCCTGTTAAAGTAAGGTTGCTTCCTTGCTCTCGGCACGCCTCAAGGGTGGTCCTCCAGGGCCAGGGATCACTGCCGCTGCGGATGGGGAGCCGCTGTAGAGCCAGTCCCAGTGTTTTGGGTTTTTTTCCTGAATTGGGGGTTTCCCAAAATTAGGGGTACCTTTTTTGGGGTTCCCATAATAAGGATTATAATATGTTGGGGTCTATATTGGGGTCCCCTTATTTTGGGAAACTACCAATTGCAGGGAGGAGATTGCAAGCTTGTAGTTCTGTTTTTACATGTTGTGATATTCGTGCTCAGCTTCTATGCCCATCACACGATCTCCCTTGTGGAAGCTCATAACGTCAGACTGTAAGTTCGACGCATGATAGCCGTTGCACTTCTGGTTGATCATGTGACAAATCATCGAGTCATTGTTATGATGGGTGAGAAGATATGTGGTACAGCAGCACATCTAGTGAGTGTACTGGTACAAAGGGTTGAACAAATAATCAGTAGGATATTCGTGACCACAGTGCTCCAATAAAGAATAGCCTCCGCAGTAACAAATAGCAAGCATTGCAAAGTATCAAGAGTCAGTCGAGAAGCGACGAAGTGACAACGGAATCAACGGCTGTTGCAGTGTACGATGTCGGCATGGGGATGTTTATTGGTCCAGCGTGGGACGCATTGTCCGCAGGATCGGGCTGTTGGGGCAGACTGACTGATCAGAAAGAGTGAAGGTTGAAAGCAGCTTGAGGTGAAGTTGAGCGAACGTGATGTCCGGATAGTCATCAGCATTTGGGCTGCTTGGGTCCACCTGCGTAGGACTTTGGTTGACTTTGCTTGCATTTCTACGTGCCATTGTGGATGAGAATTCCATGGTGTTCCAGCCCCGTGCCAGCAGGTCTTGTCATGTTAAAGTCTTGGAAAGGAATCCGGCGAAGTCAACACAGAGTCAAGGGTTCGAAGCACCAACAGCGTGCGGGCTCTTGAAAAAGCCACATCTAGGGTTCCGGTAACACAAATCAATGGGCCATTATAGTAGTTTCCACTTTCTTTTCCATTATCCCTATACAATCCCTATGTAACCCCTGTATTATTACCGTCCTATATACCCCCAAGGTCCACTTCGTTTTCAGTTTTCTTTTCCATTTGGTTATCCCTTATCGGGTGTAATATCCTTAGTATAACCCTACATTACCCCTATATAACCCCTAAACCCTAAACCCTATATAAACCCTATAGAACCCGTATATAACCCCAGGGCTTGGTCAGGTCAATAACTGGAGCAGCGATTCCTCATCGCAGCTCTAGCCTCCTCTTCAGAGAAGCGTTTTTAGGGCTTAGGGTTTAGGTTCTAGGGTTATGCCCCGTAACTTGCCATGTTCAAAATCCTGCAAGTGCTGACTTGGGATATCGAAGCCCCCCTAAATGGGAAGGACTTGCAGTAGCTACGTAGAAGATGCTGGAAATTACCTTGATCTAAGCAGTTCGCAGAAGATACTTTGACCGTGCCCCAGGTCAAACTTAAGCTACGCATTCGATTGTGAGGGGACTACTAGCATGTGAGGTATAGTGGAAACTCCTTAAAGGGGGTTTATATGGGGGATTTTATAGGGGACTACTATAGGGGATATGAAGGGGGATACTTGGAGTTTAGACTTTAGCTCATGTAGCGGCAGGACCCCTCGCTCTTCCGCCTCAGATGCGGCCCAGACTATCTCCGA